TCACCTAGGCGGATTAATTAGCTACACGGGGAGCGCAAGGGTGAACACTTTTCCCAACACCAGGGTCGGTGCGTCAGGTGGTCTAACAATCATCACACCAACATCCAACGCACGTGATGAAATTGCAGCCATTAACGACGCAAATGTCGGCCATCAAACAATTAGCACATCAAGTGCGAGGATCTCGGATGAAGGGAGGGGGGGGGGGAGCCGTGAATGTTCATAGGTATGTGATGGCATGGTGACGGCATCTTATAAATACTGCAGCCCCTTGTGCATGAACCGCCCGTATCTGCTGTTTTCTCTGATAATCGGTTCGAGCAGGAATCCGAAATCTCAGGCTAATAAAGCTCTCGTCCCAGCGATCGTATATCGTAGTTCTAGACTGCCTCCTGGGACTCGTTTCTCCACTTCTATTGGCAATTATAAGCGGTGTCGGTCGAGCTGGCTCATCTTTTGAGTCTTTTATCCGGCCCATTCTGAAAGCTCTTAATACGGTGACCTCCTCGTCTCCTCTTTAGATTGATTTGGTTGTTACCGAAATATTTCTATGTCACTCTGTACTCTATCGTTTTGATTCTCCGAAGCAGAATCAAGCATGCCCTTTATGTCAATGCATTAACTGCGATCAACTCTTGGACCTTGTGGTTAATTCGTACGTGCAGAGATTTTACCATGGATATTTCGGTTACCGGAATCGTCTGATTTAGGAAGGTTTGATTCGGCAGGACTAACGTGTGACTCCCCGCTTACTACGGTCTCTTGATCAATCGCCATTTTAGCGGCACGATTTGTTGTTTGCGGTGTGGCTAACTCTTGCTCTTTTATCTGACTCTCTGTATCTTTCCTAGGTGCTCTAGGATATTTTGTGTTCGCTGCGATCCCGTCTGGTTATCCTCTTCTTGCATCATACACTGGTTGTCACTCATGATGACTTCTAGTGACCCATTGTTTCCTTACTGCTCGATCGACACAGCTGAAGAAGCCGTGTTTGCGTACGTTTGCCACTTTTCCTGAATTTCGGATGTCGCCCATATCTTTTCTTTGGGTAAGTAGCGTGGAAGGTTTTTTCAGCTTGTCCATCTCATTTTAGGCCCCTAATCTCCTTCTCCATTCCCACAAATCTTTGAAGGAGTCCGAAGTATGTTGTACATGCGTCGTCTTCGTATTTGATATCCAATGAGCTTATTAAACTTTTTGCTTGTCTGGCTGGAGGTGACTTGTCAGCAGAATATTCAGAGTTGCACTCAATTTTACTACGACTGATAGTCGCTCCCTTATTTATTTCAGCCCGCGCACCGTTTGTCGTTAATCTAAGGGTTACATCAGTGGCCACGCTGCGTCGGTGCCTGAGTTTGAATCCCATAAGTGAAGATTTTTTTCGCATATTATCCTGGAGGTGTTTTGTCGACTTCACTTATTAAATGAAAGGATTGCTACGTATTCAAGGTATGGTCGAAGTACTTTTTTACAAAGCCAGCTGTATGAAATAAGTAACGGAATGGCTGAGCCTTTAGAAAATTGGGGACGTCAATCTAGTTGTTAACAAAGAAGCTGTCAGAAGGGGGTTTGTGCCTCTTATTGGAATCCCGTCGTACATTTCTGCAGGCGAGGATGTTGCTCGTTTAAATTCGATTCTTACTAATGGCAGGTTGTAGGAACTACCAGAGGACTGGAGTCTCAAAGAAGGTGAATTCCTCGGAGATGAAAAATCTGGAAGCCGAATTTTGGAGCGCGGGCAAAAATAAGCTGTGCCAATGAGCGCCCATAAGTTCGGCGGGTCAGATGGGGAGCATAAACACACAGAGATCCAGGTTGCGGTATAGGGGTACGATATCCACTGGTTCTTGCCTCGTGTCCGGACACAGGTTATCGTCCTCGGCTTTAAACATCGAAAAAGAACCAGCACGCTCAATTCTCGTCGCTACGTCTCCAGTCTCTTTTTTGGATTACCCCTTTTCTGTCCTCTTAAAACAAACTAGCCTTTCAGGTCCAGAAACAAAAACACACATTCATTTAAGCCGAAACTAGGTGTGTGTATTCTAGATTATTAAAACAACAGCACAGAAAATTTCAGGTGTATGGGGAAGTTTAACGTGAAAAATATACAATATATGTAGACTTACACAACTCCCCTATCAGAGCGTTTCGCGAGCAAAAAGCGCTCAATAAAAATTGTAAAATGCTACACTACGAAGTCCTTGCGATTGGCAGGAAAATGGATGTCTGCCAGAACGAGATGAGGTACGCGGTGAAGTAGAAGGAGAATCAGGTTGGATGGATGGGATGGTCGAGTGTGGTGGTTGAGTGAAAGGGGCCTACCCATGTGGATCGGGTAAGGACGGTTCAGAGGAATTGGATTGCACTAGGGGCGGCGAGATGCACTTAAGATAGGTTGGTTTAAGTCTGTCAATGGAAACTGTGTCTGTCTTGTCAACCTTCTGAATGATATAATCCTTGTCCATCAGCTGAAGAAACTTATAAGGGCCATCATACGGGAAAAAAGAACCTTACAAAGCGCGTCATGCCGCACGAAAACGAATGGAGAAGATTTAAGGTCCTTGTGCACAGACACACGTTTGGATGCTAAACGAGTGGGTGTCGGAGGCAGCTGAGTCATGCGTTGCACAAAGGTGCTTGGCATATCGGTGTTCATAGTGGAAGACTGCGCAAATTCGCCTGACAGACAGAGGGGTGTATTATAAACAAGTCCGGCAGCAGAGCACTGGGTGTCCTCCTTGACAGAAGATCGGATGTCTGAAAGTACAAGACAGAGATTGTCACTTCAAGAAGGCAATTCTCAGGAAGGCCTTATTGCAGACTTACGTTAACGGTGTACACGGTCCACGGGGCCATTGAAGAAACGGTGATATGCCGTGATTGTGATGTGCGCACAGCAAAGCAGTTTAGTGAGCTCATAGAAAGGGCTAGATTGGAAATGGCTCCCGTGGTCAGTATTAAAGGTGGCCGGCACATTAAAAGTTGAAACCTAATGCGTCAGGAAAACCGTGGCAATATTTTATTTCAAGGTATTTGAGATAGGAACGGCAAACAGTCATCGTTTGAAGCGGTCAACCGTTGTCAGAATATGCGCGTACCCACATGATGGGGTAGCGCAGCCGCTAGATCCAAGGAGACGTGGTGGGATCGAACATCCGGGACGACAAATGTACTTGCTGCAAAGTATGTGTGGAGGTGAACTTTGTTTTTCTAGCAAACTTAACACTGCCTTTTCCAAGAACCATGTCAGAGTTCGTCTCCGGACAGGTAAAACGAGCGGTGATTAGTATACGACAGCGCGGATGCCGGGATGCGACAGCGAATGAGAATGATCAAACACTGCCTTGCGGCAGGATAATAGAACAAGAGGTCCAGACGGGAAAATGCATCGGAAACGACATTGTCGCTGCCTCGGACGCAGCGATAGCTGTAGTAAAATGCGAGATATAGTCCAGGTGACGAACTTCCCTGAGCGAGTACTGATTTGGCTTGGCCTTAAGAGCGTCTTTGAGAGGTTTGTGGTCAGTGTGAACCCGAAAATCTCTGTCCCCTAGAAGGTGTCAAAAGTAACGAATGGCCAGATATATGGAAAAAAGCTCGTGAGAGAAAGTACTGTAGAGAGTCTTCGCCGGTTATATCTTCTGTGAGAAGAAAGCCAATGGCTGCAACTGGTTACTCACCTGTTGATGCAAGACTGCGCCAACAGCACTGTTGAACGCGTCAGTGGTCAAAATAGGCTGCTCATAAGTGTCAGAGCTGAGATGGCACAGCAGGGCTGCATCAACAACAGCTTTATTCGCTGCCTCGAAAGCAGAGTGAGCTGCCGATGAAATTTCTATCGGATTTGTCCTAGACTTCAAAATATCAGTTAGGGAAACTAGTGTTCCCGCACAGTTGGGCATGAACCGTTGGTAGTAATTAATGAGACCTATCAAAGGCCGTAGCTGAATAAGTGTCCTGGGAGCAAAAAACAATACGATGCTCTACACCTTCGCTGGAAGTGGTGTGATCCCATGACGGTCGACATGGTGCCCAAGTAAATCGAGAAAAGTAACGCCAAATACATATTTGTCGACGTTTAATTGCAAACCATGTTATTAGAAACGATCAAATATCTGGCATAAGTAGGAGGCATGTTCCCCTGCCGAGGAGCTTGAAATGAATATGTTATAGATGCAGACGAAGGTGTGTGAGAAACCACACAAGGACCCATCGATAAAGCACTGGAAGGATTGGACCCCGTTGCGTTAGCCAAAAGGCATACGAATAAATTCCAACAAGCCAAAGGCTTTGTGGTGGCTGTCTTAGGTATGATTCCTACTGCGACCGGTATCTGATGATATGCTCTCACGAGGTCTGTTTTGAAAAAATGATTTTTCCCGCCAATATGTGAGAGATGTCATGGATGTGGGAAACAGGAAACTGGTCGGGAACGGTGACTCTATTGAGGGCGCGCTAATCATTGAATGGTCTCCAACAATTAGCTGATTTCTTAGGGGACATACGGAACGGATAGGTACATGAGCTGGAAGAAGGGCGGACAATCCACAAATTCATCATATGCTCGAATTCGTTTCTCTCTAACTGGAGTTCGTTGAGATTAAGTCTCTGCGGACGAGCGTGTACGGGTTGCTCAGCGGTGGCTATGTGGTGTCTGAACACGTGCCGAACCTTCTCGGTGAAGTGTTGGGGTTTTGTGATAGACAGGTGATCCTTCAAGATGTCAGCGAAGGGTGACCTTGGAATGGACAAGTGGATGCCGATCGAAAATTTGAAAACGACAGATAAGAGCTTAGCTGCTTATCAGTCAGATTGCGGTGCTTCAAGTCGACTGAGAGGCCAAAATGCGAAAGAAGAGTTTCTCTGATAATGAGCAACTGAACGTCAGCCAGCACAAAGCTCCCCAGGAAACGCCGCCGGAGACCGATGTCAAGTGTGAACGAGCGTTGTCCGTAGGTGCTGATGGTGGTGCAATTGGCGGTCTGCAATGAAAACTGCGAATGCTTGAGGTGGTGGCGCCGACGAGGCGGGATGACACTGACTTCAGCACCAGGATCAACAAGAAGGCGGAGGCCGCTCGACTTGGCATTGATGTAAAAGTAACGACTGGGTCGCGACCGGCTAGCAGCAGTTGTCGATGTTGCTGACTAAAATGGTCGTTTATCTGTGGCATCGCCTGCAGGAATGTGCACTTGCGTGCTACAGGACCGTAAGTACAATGGCATTAGCACAAAGTTTTCCAATGCCGTTCACATGGCTTATAACGAAGGCGTGAATATGACTGATTGCGGGCTGACTGTAGGCTATTTATAGCAGTATACACGGTGTACATTTGGGTGCACAATAAGCGTGCGGTGTGCCTTACGTCTTCATAGTCACCGCTTCGGGAATTGTTCAGCTCTTTAGAGAGGCATGATAATGTAATGGCTCTGCATGGTGCTCAACAACAGGATGACAACATACAAAATATCGAGGGAGTGACTTCTGGACCCGAAGTGACAACTCTATCGGATTTGCAAATGGGAGCCGATGTTTTTTATTTGTATTTGAAGGGTTAGAGGTAGAGCCCTTGGTTACCCTATTTATATACAGGGATTGCGTATATTTGTACTCAAAATAAGATTCCAAACACTTAGAATGATATAAATTCACAATAAAACATTGATAATAAGGAACTGCATCTGCATTTGTCTCTGATGATGGGTTTGAACAGGAATCACAAACGTCAGGTTAATAAAGCTCTTGTCCCATCGATCGTATCTCCTTCTTCAAGGAATTGCATCTTTTCTCTGCGAGCCAATGCAGAAAGATTGAACATCACTGAGGGTTTCACAGAGCTGGCTGCGAGTAGGCATAATGTAAAAGTCGATCTTTGTCGGAAATTAGACGAGAAAGTTTTCTTTTAAACGTGCAAATTGTGTCAATCGTCACCCTCTCACTTGGTAACGAGTTCCATGGCTGGACAGTCCGTTGGCTGGGATAAGACTGCCCACGGTCTGGACGCGTGCGGTCACTATTGACTTTTTAAGGATGGTCACGAAATTGGTTTACACGGGCGAACTCGAAAAGTCCTCCGTTCTCAGTGAACAACCTTGGCCACGGACAATCCGGAATGTTCAGAGCAGACTGCAGTTTATTTGCCTATAGGTATAGGTAATGAGCCAAGCACATTCAACCTCTCCTGTTACGACAAATACAGTTAATAACCTAACTCATGAAATGCCGAGATCGGTATTTGAGTTGGTTGAACGGCATATATTTGGTGTGGTTTTTTTGTTTTTAGAATTGATTGGAATCGCAAAAAGCCTTTTTATAAAAAAGAAGTAATGTTAGTTTATTTTTAATGAGGGGAAACAGTCCAATATTGGGTAAATTTTGTCGTCTCCGGATATCCACGTAATTTCCTATTTTAATAAGCATCCCCTGTTAAAAGCTCTCATTTGCGCGCTTGACGATATAAAGGAGTTTCATAAAACAATGAAAAATATCAAGGAAGCCCACTTTGTAAACGGAAATTGTGGCTTTCAGTTCGTGAAAATAAGATCGTGGCAAATACGTAAAAACGCATTATTTTTATGAATCAAGAAGCCATTTACACTTCATAAACTCTATTTAACGGAATTGTAACGTTCCGTATTATTAAACGTAGTAATCAGCTTGTTCGACAATATTTGTTCTACTACATCAGGAATTAGTAATGCTTGGTCGTATCTTTAACGCAGTATACCTTTCGTAGATGCGGGATTGGCGTTTCGTGCGCTACAGAGAAAGGTCACGAACTGTACTTTAGGCCATCGAACATATTCGTTGCTGTATGTTGCACTTGCTCGAGTAGGTCATTATCCTTCTTCATCCATGGTGAATCTGCTGGCATTCCATTTCCTGGTGGGGTCTTACAAAGACGCCTAAAATTCTCCCGATGAGTTTGGCAAAAAATATTTTAGATGCGCGCCTGATCCAGTATAAAGTACGAGCTGCCTTCTGAACTATCTTTATACAGTGTTCTAATGGCATAAGATTTGTGGTAGTTCATATACCCAGATCTCTGTGTTTTTCTACAGTCTCCAATGCCGCCCCATTAATAAATTGCAAATATTTGGGGAGGCATTTCGGCCTGTGTCTAAGTGTAGGACCACACATTTGGACACATTAGATTTGCGGTTCAAAGCACAGTAGACAATGTATTATTGAATGACAGGTCTATTATAAACAGAATGTTCCAAACCAGAGCCATTTCTCTCGAAATGACACCGGATGTTGTATGTATAACGGAATCATGGACCCATTCTCTAATTCCTGACTCTGCCCTTCCTATAGATGAATTCGATTTCCACCGTAAAGACCGCACGACTTGGCGTGCGGGCGGTTGTCTTCTTTAGCTTAGATCTCCTAGCATTCAAATTTTCGAAAACTATATCACCACATACTTTAGGTGTCATACTTAGCCTTCTCTTGCTGACTCCCCGTACGTCAATAACTCTAGACTAACTGGTACTTATTCTCCAAGTGTCATTAATTCACAGCTTATATATCGACCTCCAAATTTTTTTAAATACCGTCGACAAAAGCGTTGCCGTTTGAAACGCAATAGATATTGTGAAATATGATATAGAAATAGATATGAAATGATATGATATGAATATGAAATAGATATGATATGATATGATATGAAATAGATATGTGTGAAAGCAGCTTGGACCCATTCTCTTATTCCGGACTCTGCCCTTCTCATAGATGACTTCGATTTTGACCGTTAAGACCGCACGACTAGGCGTGCGGGCGGTTGTCTTCTTCATCTTAAATCATACCTTAAGCACTCTCCCTATTAGGTGGATGTTTCCTCATTCACGGGAAACTTCCGCTTCGCATCAGTTATTCTCTCGCCGCAAAGAAAGGCAATTACTGGCTGTATCCACAATCCCCCAAATTCTTTAGCCAGTGATGATTCACAACTCTGTGAAATCTTTAAATTAATTTCGGAAGCTCCTTTCGATGTTAAAATAATTACTGGGAATTTTAACCTTCCTAAAATTGACTGGGTTTCCAATAGCTGTCCACCTAGATTCCAGCCCTTTCGAGATATGGCCCATTTTTCAAATTGGTCCCAACTGGCGCGCTCTCCAACAAGAGATAATCACATTTTAGATCTAATCTTTGCCACTGGCATTTTTCCTCTTTTTGTTCCTTTAAAAAGAACCTCATTGACAGTGACCACGTATTACTTCATTGTTGCTTACCGCTTGCATTTTTAAAAAACCAGCGCCTTTCGGAATTACATGAACTACGACTGCGTAGATAAAGACTTAATAAATAATTATATTAGATCTTTAGATTGGTGTGGCTTCCTCTTCTGTATCGATGCAACCATTCTTCGTGATGTCATGTCCAATTTTTTTAGGCACATCCTAGGGTTTGTGCCGAGTAGATATCTCAAGCCTAATTCTTCAGATTCCCTTGTTCCTAATTTTCTTCACAACAGACTAAAAATTTGAGACGCAGCTGCGTGACCCATCCATTAGTTCCTTATCAGTTCATCGTAGAACCACAGAGATATTTGAGATGCACCAAGCGCGCGATAAGCAAAGAGAATCACTTGCCCTCAGTGTTTCGAACCCTGACATATCCGTCGCTAACATCTTCCGCCATCGGTCCTCCTCTAAGCGTGGACACGAACTTCTTCCCCCGTTAAATGATAACAAAGTCTTTCTCATCGATGACACTGACAAGGCGGAGTTGTTCAGTGCTTTATTTGCAAAACACCTTAATACTGAGTCCGATCCGGTCCCTTTCTTTCGCTCAATTTCAGATAGGACACTGAGTGCAATCGATGTCTACTCAGATTTCATTAAGAAACACATAAGTCGTTTGAAATACTCATACGGCAGAGGAATTGACAAGATTCTGAATTCGACCATTAAACAAGCCCCCGACATTCCCATTTTGCTCAGTCATTTATTCTCGGTTTATATTTCAAAAGGATTCTTTCCTGAGACATGGAAAACGTCAATTATCATTCCCGTCTTCAAGTCTGGATCTCGGTCTGGTGTTAATAACTATCGGGGCGTGCACAAAACGCCGTCTCTAGCAAAGCTTCTTGCAAGGATTATTTTCAATGAAATTCTTGACTTCTGTCTAGCTAATCGGCTTCTGAGCTCTAGTCAGCATGGATTTTTACCTGAACGATCCTACGAAACTTGCTACTTGGCATTTCTTAATCTAATCACTTCTTTTCTTAATGAGCGGCAGGCAGTGGTAGTTACATACTTTGATCATAGCAAAGCCTTTGACGAGGTGCCTCACAGACGTCTTTTAGTAAAATTGGAAGCTCTCGGCATCCGGCCCCTCTACTCGACTTCATCAGGTCCTATCTGTCCAACCGATATCAGAAAGTCATGGTCGGTAATAGCTACTCGACACCCCACTCGATCACGAGTGGCGTACCTCAAGGCACGGTTCTGTGTTCGCTAAGCTTCCTCCTTTACACCGCAATCGTTTGTGTTGAAGAATTTAATGCCGATTCACTACGATTAAGCATATGGGGTTGGACATGGCACATGGAGTTTTATCATCCAAGTGTAGTTTCAGGTCTTTTGGTCCTGCCAAACTTCCTAGCGTCATTATTTTTCAGAATAACGCACTCTCAGAATGCCTCATCATAAAGGACCTAGGTCTAAGTTATACAAATAAGCTTGCTTTATCACCTCATGCAGATAGAATCTCTGCCAAAGCCGCGCAGATATGTGGATTCATATCGCATAATTTTTTCCTTCCGGAAATGAAGCTAAGGCTTTATCAAATGTTTGTTCTTCCAGTCCTCGAATACTGCTGTCCTTTATTCGGTTTAATGAACGCCTGCGACCGTAATAAAATCGAAAATGTTCAGAGGGTTTTCACCCGGAAACTGTTCTCTCAAGCTTCGTCCGGTATTTCTTATACTCAGAGATGTCAGATGGCGAACATTAAGTTTTTCTGGATAAGGAGACTCGAAGCTGGCCTTTGCTTCCTTTTTCGCATCAACTCTAGCTCTAATCTTCCGCTTATTGACACGCACTCCGAGAAATCGGTCTTATGCCACGCGCAACCCCTGCATGGTGATTCCGCCGCCTCTTTGTACTACATCTAAACGCTCCCTCTTCTTTGCTTCCAAATATGCCTTCCTGTTGAATAAATTTAACCAGAAATCAGTTCATCGCCAAAGTTACTGGTATTCAAATCGAAATTAGTCAAACATCTTACACCGGAAAGCAAAAATGCTCTGTTAACGGTCTCATTCCCGAACACTCAGATTCTTGACTTCGAGAAGTGTCCTCCTGGGATATAGTGGTAAACCACATGGAAACCCTCGCTTATGTCTTTACAACCCCCTCAATTGTTCCATTAGAAACTCTGTTTTGAATTGGTTTCTAAATTTACAGCTATCAGTTCGCCCCAAAAGCGACGATTTTGGCGGTTCGCTGCGTCGTCTGGACTCGAAGAGATCTGTGGCCGACGAGTCTGGATTCCTCACGTCTCGCCACTTTGACTCGAATAACCTCATCCGGTGTATGAATTCTGCCTCGTTGATGTCTGTCAAATCTTCCACACACTACCGCCTGCAGGCCAGACCTGTCTGACTCACCTTCCTACCCTTTTATATGTGAATTTTTTCTCCTCTGGGGTGATAGTCCCCCTTCCAAAATTTTCTCTTCCACCTATCAGGCAGAAATAGTTTGGACAGCAGTGAATACTCAATGTACAGCGTAACGTAGTTGTTTGACCCCAATGGCGGTCGGTCCTGCATGCCAAATACATTTTTCTCCTTTCGGGTAAAAATAAGATTAAGGCAGATTATGACCTCCCGAAGGCAACCTTCTGGCAGAGAAGTTTGCCCGTTGCCCACTGAGGTAGCTTGTGATTAAAGTTGTCTTGCGGCCTTTGCGCATCCCGTGTTTGCCAATTAATGCCAGGAGCGTCAAAATCACCAACGATCAGAACAGCTTTCTGCTCGCTGGATTTTTACAGTTCTGTTATAAGGTTGACATTTTGATCAGAATTCTAGTAAGGCGAACGGTACACTAGCGAAAGCGTCAGTGGCCGGACATGCTTAGCAGATATAGTGGTACTTAACAGTTCCACATCCCGTACCTGATTATGTACCTCAACCATATCGGTCAACTTGCAAGTAACAGAAATTATGACTCCTCCTCCTTGGCTTGGTCTACCTCTGCTGAATCACTGATATACTGTAAGCGATATTTCCGAATCTGCGATACATTCAGAAAGTCATAATGCCTGGTTTAATCTCACCAACTGTCTCCTAGTTTGTCGAGTTTCTTGAACGAGCTTTGTACATTTGCGGAAATAATCCGAACTGATGATTACATCGGAGAGACCCATCCTTCAGTGTGGCAGGTTTGGACCACAGAAAAGACTTCTTGGTCTGTGTTATTTAGCCATTTTTGATTTTTAGCTCTTTGTCTCTTCTGCCAGTTATCTCCTATAATTCTGTTCTCAGTTACCCAATTTTCAACCATTTCCGTGGTTCGTAGTTCGGCTGTAAAATCTTCTTTTTGCGAGCTCCGTAAGGCCATCATTCATTCTACAGGAGCACTTTCTGGGCTTTGTTTTCTAAAATAACTATTAGAGGTCTAGCGAGATGTTTGCAGGTCACGATCTGAGACTGCTTTGCCTAGTCAGAAGGCTTTTTACGGTGACGATTTCTCCATCATTCTGGAGGGTACTGGTGTATACATGACGAAGGTCCAGATCACGTATCATCCGTTCCTTCAGAACGCAAGACGTGGAATCTGGGCACCCCATAATAAGTATTTTGCTAAAAAAAATTACGGATGCACTCTTTACTGCCTCGTCCGCGCTAGGACGATATTTTGTCGCTGTGGTACTCCTGCGGATGATGGCGCACAGACGTTAGACGGATTTTCATCAAACGTTGGGGCTGTAGAATCTAAATTTTCGTATTAGGCCCTGGCTTCGGCGTGGAAACCTCCACAGCCATTTCCCTCCATCAATGTACTTAACGGAGAGTTGCCATGCCCTCTTTCCTAAACGGACTGTTTAAGGCCAACTGAGTTTGCCTTGTGATGAAGTGGACTGACAGCATCCTCCTCCAAAATAAGGGCGAGGCTTTCTTGTGTTTTCTAACAGATCTTAAGGGTTTAGTCCTGGCTTTCCCATTTTGGCGCTTAATGATTTCGTAAATTAATTGCCGTAGCAAGTGGTGAAACATGACTTATTTTTGCTGCATTGGCTTCAAATGCCACGTTATTCACTGAAACTGGGTTTTCTGGAGTTTCAGCAGGCGACATAGCCCCTTCCTCTACTTGATTGCTTTGAGTTTTCCACGACTGTGCCTTCATTAGTAGGATATTCGTCGGTTGTCGGTCGGAAAGTTGACGAACTATTACGGGGCTTATGCTACTGTGCTTCTAACTAGCCAGAATTGTCAGTCAGGAGGGTCCGTTTCTCCTCTAGCGCGCGGAGTCGCCTGTTGATTTCCTCTCAGCCCACATAAAGACGGGCTGGCGGGGAGTCGGTCCCATGTGTCCTTCAGCATTCAATGTCGTCTGGGAGTACACTGGTCCTTATTTCCTATCGTGTCTATTAGAGTTTACTGTGCTTAAACCCCTTGGGGCCTAATGATCCCAACGAATCTTTTTCACAAGAAACTGTTAGTGAATTAAAAACCCTTATTAGCTGCTGAATATTCGTGCATGAAACTCCGACCGGGTAACATTCGCTGATTCTGTCTGCATGGTTGGCCATTTTCTCTAAAAATTTGCTGGTGTCCAGCACGGCCAAGACCGGTTGCTTGGGAATGGGCAACTCATTTAACCAGATTTCTAAAAAGATTCCGTCGTCCAAATGACGGCCGACGAGCAACGAATGCATTTGCCGCATAAGTTGCCAAGGTGTTCAGTCGTCGACTTCCAGCTGCGTAAACAGTTCCCGCATCATGGGTTGGCTGATTTAGCTGCACGCTGAGTCCCAGTGTCATTGAAATGAGTATACGGTATGGCGGCAGGAATCGGGTCCAGGAGGTCCTTGACATCAACGTTGACATCTAATGGGAGACTGCGTCACGCACATGAAGCGCGTACGTTCACTAGTGATACGGCTCGTCATGAAAAAGCCCCAATCTCCTGAAACCATACACGGGCTTGATCGGCGTAAATGGGGGAAATTTAAAGGAGAAGGTGTTAACGTCCTGATAGTCTGCCATGCGATCTATTTACAGGAATAACTTAACTCTAAGTGGTAGACGTTGCGCTTCCTACAAAAAAATAACGACGACTAATGTGTAAAGGAAAAATGGTTAAGGTAGATAATCATACAGACTTATTGCAGATAGGCTGGGCCGCGAGTAAGACACCGGCTGCCATGATCTTCCGGTCCGGTCCCGAATGAAAAGCGAAGGCGGACGCCAGTGGGTAGAATGATATATTCCGTAAATAATAACTGTATAAAAAGTTGGAGAGAGTTAGCAGCCTAACGAGAGCACACTCGGCGTCGGTTAAGTGGCGTCCCAAGTGTGTGAGGGAATGCGCCAAAGCGTATTAAGGCAGGACACGTCTGACTGGGCCTTGGGTTTAATCGACCACTTGGAGAGCTGACTGGGCGTATGCCAGACAACACTGGTTCGCATGTCCAGACACTTGCGAGAGGCCCAGTGTTCTGGCAGAAGCTCGGAGTAGGACCACAACAAACTAACGAGAAACGAAACGCTCTCCATTATCAGTCGTTGTAATGTAAATGTGATGAGTAAAGTACAGAAGGTTCCGAGCTAAAATCAGTGACTGGACCTTGTTGCTTGAATAAATTGACATCCAGCAAGATACGTGTGAGAAATAAAATTGTTTCGTGGCAACTGACTAAATAGGATTGGGGTACATGAGCGCAATCAACGAAGCAATACTACTAAGCAGAAGGCGGACACAAAAACACACATTCATTCAAGCCGAAATCAGGTGTGCATAATTTGGGTTATTAAAACAAAATTACTAGAAAATTGAGGTGTGCATCAAAGTTTAAAGTGAAAATTGGAAGCTGTACTAGACCTACAAATTCAACAAGAAACGCAGACATCGGAACTCACGTTAGTGTGAAACGTCCGTCCTCGATGAGGGTTCTGTGGATGAGATCTCATTTGCGTCCTTAGGGGCTGCTTGGGACGGAACGTCGGGTGCTGGAGCACTCTGCCCGGTCTGCAAATAGTTGGGGTCGTCTTTCTAAGTATTCATAATCGAATATCAACCTTCAGGCACACAATAGGACGCGTAATATACCAAGGTTTATCTTATTAGGGGAGAAAATAACGTGGAACGAGGAGCAGAAGGAGGGGATCGATTAATCCAACAAAACGATAACTTCAGTTATTCGGGGAAGGTGGAGTTGGGAGCTGCCATCGGTGAGGGGGAATCGTTTTCTTCGCGCGCCTCGACAGGAAAACGGAAGAAAAACAGGTACCGTCCAGACACCAGGCACACTTGCTCTCAATTAAGTCCATTGTCCCTCAAAAAAACCGTTCATTTATGTCCGCTACAAGTGTTTAACCAATCCGCAGATTGCCTGCGGGATCATTCTGCAAAATTGTCAGTTAGTCCCATTGAAACGAGTCCTTAAAAACGCGATATGCGGACGGATTTCAGGGTGCTGAATAGTGATTGGTTGAACATCTTTATGCGAGCCGCGACAGCTTCTTAGACTAGTCTTGAGTTTAGATTGTGTCAAATTATGTTTGATTGGTAATTCCAATCACTGAGCGACCCGGAAGACGTCATTAAGAAAACCGGTCAAGTGAGAAACAAGTGGTCAAAGAAGAAGTTATTGTTCAGTTGCTAGCTTCGAAAGTGTCACGCGGCTCACCCACAACTTAGTGAGTTATTTAGAATAGTAAGCTAGCTAGACGGCTACTTAGAATAGTCAGTTAGTCCGTTTTTCAGTTAGTTAGTCTAGTAAGAGAGTTAGTTTTCATAGTGCTGTGAGTACAGTTAGTATGCAGTCATTCGCTGGAAAATCTTCTCTAACTTTGCCCGAAATTTAGATTTTTCACGATTTTTGGCTTCCAGTGGTCCGTCCGGGTTAGATATGGCGATGAGGATGTACCAATCACTTAACTTATATAACTGGTGAATTTACGACAAACGATCGATATTAACGATAGTCAGTTAGAAATGCCTTTAATTAAAGGCACTTTGTTACCGTATAATTACTTTGATTACCGTATTTTTCTGATTTTCTAGCATGTTATACTTTGCCGTTTATTTGTTTTAACTGACTAAAGTTTTATTTGCCCATTTACGTTTTGGTTTTTGGGGTTGCGCGCTCCATTAGACTTCATCCGCAAGTGCGTTGGTCAACAAATCCCCCCATTGGACGTTCCGGTAACTTTTTAACTTCGTTATTTCAGTCCTTTTGCATTGGATAGTAAACGTGTAGTGGGTTCCCGCAATACGTTTGAGGGTCAATCTATTGATAACTATTTAGGCAGGAATTTTCGTGTATCTCGTAAAAATTAGACAACGGTATAAACTGAAGCAGAGAGCAGTTGATAGCACACGCCGCACGCGATACGCAAGCAATAATGGCGAAGAGCATGCGGCGTGGGAGCACTGATAGCTACAGCGCGCCAGTCAATGACTGTGAGAAATCGATAAACTCGCCTATCAATCAGGTGACGAGATAGCCCAATCGCGAGATTTCCGCGATAAGTGTAATATCCGATTTACCTGAAGGTTTAGTCTTGTCTGTAATGAGACCTTTGGAGGGCGGTTGGGGTTGCCCGTCTGAATGGGTCATAGTAGACATATCCATTTCGGTTCTGCCTTGCATGTGCTGTTTGCAAGTTCGACCACACGGATTCCAACAGACAATACCATAATTGAACTGTAAATAACGCAACGTTTATTAAATCGAAGATTGGGAACGGGACGAATCGTGGGTTGGGCATATCTTCTGGTTTTACCTACTCCATTGTCGTTCCCCCCTTTATCATTTGACCCCCAACCCACGATTCGTCCCGTCCCCAATCAATTTAATAAACGTTGCGTTATTGACAGTTCAGTTTTGATATTGTCTGTTGGAATCCTAGTGGCCGGACTTACAAACACCCCGTGCAAGGCAGAACCGTAATGGATATGTCTACTATGACCCCTTCAGACGAGCAACCCCACCACCCTCCAAAGTTCTCGTTACAGAGGAGACTAAACCTTCAGGTAACTCGGGTATTACAAAGAGTGCATCAGGTAGCTGTTCAATGTTACTACGGGTAATTGTTATCTAGCTAACATATATTAGCTGGATAACAACAGAACTCAGCATAATTGTCAGTAAAAAACCACAAAGTAATAAAACATAGGCAAATACGAGTTAGGAAGGCAATGAGATCGTTGAGGCAGGCACGGCGTGCGCACTGCAGCGTGAGAGGGCAAAATGTGGCGCCGGGGAGAGCGTGAGAAATGTCGACCGCCGAAGCAGCTGCAATTATACGCGGCCGTTCGCACCCTTCGTGATCCCAGCGCAGTCGACCCAACAACCAGTTAAATCACGAGGTCGCTGGAGACTCATTACCCTCATCGTGTACACCAGCTCGCGGCAAGCTCGCTTGCTGTTAGGTCATCTTTTGCCGCGTTTGAGTCGATGGCGACGGGATTCAGAAAAGTCGCGATGAGTGTGACCCCTGGGCATGGGATGTGGCTAGTTTTTTGACTCCGCCCTGGGTGCGAAGATTCGCCATACGGCGCTATGCCTGACTTTGCTATAGCGGCGATTTGCTGTAAAGGCGCCTTCGCCATACGGCAGACTGGACGCTTTTCACCGCTCACCCCTACCTCAAACTCCCTCAGTTCATGAATTTCGGTGTCCACGGAGTTACCTTACGTGAATGCATTTTTATTTTTTCGGTTTTGATATTTTATTGCGCAAATATTTATTACGAAACGTAATCAGGGCAGCAGATCCGATCGTCCCGACACAGTCTGTAACAGGAAGAAGGGGCCCGTGTTTGGCTCTAAACAAAAAGAGTACATTTGGAAAATTTTAGAACTGACCATTAAATTGAGGCGTAAAAGTCGGCCTAACACGTTGTTGTGCGCATTCAACGACATCCTCAGAAACCTGGTGGAGGCGATTCGAGTTCATATATCAGCGGAACTGCCACTGTTTCATTGGCCGGATGAATACGCGGTTGGAAACGGTTAAAACTGTAGTCGAGCGTATCTCTAACCCCTCAGTCTTCTATCTGCGGAGTAGGTGTGCCAATTGACCTAAATTCGCTCAGGGGTCAGCCGCTAACTGACTACGATCGAAGGCAATCATTCCTGATGCGGTGAGTCTGTAGTGTATAGCTGGCTGAAGCAGGCATACTTCCCATAGGTTGCATTCACATTTTGCGTGATGCATCACTCGCTCACGTCAACCGTGGGTGTGGAGCGGGACCCCATTCTGTTGTGATCTACGTCATCCATGCCCTCGTTGACCGCGGTGTTAATTGGTGGTCAGGACGGTTTCATGCCTTCATCGTCTTCTTTTAAATTGATTTGCAACACCATAGGAAGGGGGAGGAGCAAGTAAGTCTACATGGCTGTTGACCCAGGGGTTAGTGGATATCCCCGTTTCTTGCACTAGAATGGATGTGTGCTCGTCGCCATGTCCCATGATCCGAAAGTAACTGAAATTGTTGATATGTCCCCGTAGCGCGGCACGAGTTATCACGTCCGACTTTCGGTCTTACCTCCGAACAGCCAGCTATGTTCATGCATTCGTAGACATCGGCTGACTTCTCCTATATTATTTTCTTGTCCACAGCTGCGCTGAAGTCAATGTACAACGACCGATCCCTCTTGGTTATCTGTAAACACCGGGAAGACAAAATCGTTTTCGAGCTGCATCCCTGACCAAGAGAAGGCGCTCCCGGATTAGTAACTATGAACTGCAAGAAGTAGACTATTTGAGATACCTCAAGCCGAGAGTTCTGCCGAATTGACAAAGTTGTCTCCAGAATCGCTACCGTCTGCCGGATTTTTTCAATCCTTAGATAGTGTCTATAGACTCGACGCGACATCTTCATCGCCTCAAAGATTTGCGCGTCCCGTCCATCTGTACGGCTATGAAGGTTGAGCTGTGCGCGTGAAAGATGAGCGAAAACTGGGGGTATCTGACCAACACTGCTCGGAGTGAAGTACTCTGATTTCATCTCAAGTGAGACAGTCCGCACTCTCTGCGGCAACATCCCAATGATATGCCAGGCCTTCATAGAAAGGCGACTGAAGTTGTTTAGGCATGTTCTTATCCACCCCATGGGCTCAGTTCTGTTACTCTCGACCCGGCGCCGTTTTCCGTATGGAGGCATCGAAGAGGGGATCAAATCAAGACCTAGTGTGACACGGTTAATCACGACATGTATATGGTTCTTGGGCCTTTGGTATTAGATCTCCGTCCCTGGAGGAGATAATGGTTCGCGCTCTTTAGATCCCCTGCCGCAGCTTATCACACATGGAGAGGCACAGTCCGTAATACAATAGAGGCTGGCTGGATCAGACATGATCACAGCAGTACCAGGTACAAGCAGGGAATGGGGATCCGCTTCGCACCCATAGTAGCTCCGGGCGATCTATACAGCAGGCAAAATGTGCATGCGACCAGTGCGCCTACTCCGTACAGGACTCGATGCTCTGAGGTTGAGTATCCGAAGTGGAAGCCGAAAAGCCAGGATGAAACTAAACCCAGTCTCACTGAAGATCTTGTCTGTTTCTTCAGCGGTCGAAGGAGCTTAATTCTTCCATACACCCCAGTGGGTGAGGATTTACCACCGTGAAAAAAGCACTTTACCGAGTTTCTCATTCTCGCCGTCTCTGGCTTCACTCCGAGCACCACGGTCTTAGCTTCGGCGGGGTTGATGTCCCCTCGTACTCTTGACCCTGTGCCATGGTATATTAGTTAGGATTGCAGCTTACCTTACGTTTCCATAACAGCAAGGTTAGGAAACTTCCCCCTGCGTCATTTCTGTGTGTGAAGGAGATACTTTGGTAAGTGTGGCACACAAAACCTGTTCTGTAAGATCGTAGCAGTGTCTTGCTGTATTTTGTTGATTAAGTGAAACAGTTCAGGAAGTCATGACTGCAGAGTCACCAACCTGCTGGCCGCCTCTGAGAACCCCTTTGTTAGCTTCCGCCGGAACCATTTCCGCCCATCCTGGAGTGTATGCACAAGAACAGGCAAAGGCTATCTTTGCCCTGGCAGCGGCTTCGTCGACCTGATTTTCACCCGACAACGGATCGAGACTAAACCAGAAATGAATCTCCTGAGGGGTTCCTTCCGATTCCACTCATCAAGTTCTGACCAATCTATAAACTTCAGAAAAGTTGTTTCTCTCACCAGGGGTATATCGCTTCTCTCCTGAATTGTTAAGAGGTCCTTTGCGTGATTCGCAAATAGAATCATCCAGTGGACTCTGGAAATTAATGGCGAGCTCTGAAGAGCATAAATTCAACCGATTTGTGGTATGAGATCACGGGAGCCAAAATTTGTCTGAAGAGTAAGCATTTCGTTGTCAGTTATTGCACGCTACAGTGCTGTATTCATCCACCTGTTTCCTTTTCACTGTGCTTTTCTATGCGGTTGTCCTTATGGATTCAAGGCCTTTCGTTTTTGAGCGTGCCTAGGCTGATTAATAGTATACTTTGTAAAAACTTAACCAATTATTGGCTACATCGTTCTCAGGTTATCTGAATTTTGCATGAAGCTAAGGACAGCAACGTCGAGATCACTTTCGGTGACATTATTCTGTAGAATGTTTCCCTCCTGCCCTGTTTGTCTTGGGGTGACCGACTGCCTTGTCTATCACTGTTCCTCCGTGCTGCCGATTAGACGGCGAAGGGCAATAGCTCGCAGTAAAAATCGCATGCAGTATGTTCTGTCTTTGACGGAAGTCTCGGTAGTATCTCCGCGGGGTTAAACTAGAGGCAGCGTTAAGTTACGGAAGTTATCGTCAAGGTGACCGTGCACTACGACTATTAAACATGACCTCGATGCGCTGTTGACCGTTATAAGCTAACAAGGCCCAGCCGGTGTTTTTGAAGAAGTCACTGTTTCCGATCTTTTGAAAATCTGTCAATCGACCTAGGAGGAGACTACTTTCTGACGTACCTCCCAGAATTCGTTGTATGAATTGAACTATCACGTTTATAGTCATTCGAGTGACCAGGCGTGGTTAGGTTAAACCAGAAGAGGATGTCCAACCCGATATTTTTCAGTGTTCAGGATCTGAACCGAGGGAGACTTAACCGAAGATCGCAAAGCGTAGTTTGCAATCTTCTCAACGTTGGAGCTGGCTTAGCCAGTACTTTTGTCACCCTTAACTAGTCAACAGTCCAAAAAGGTATATCTAAATCTTGAACAAGTTGACATCTTGGCTATGAGTCCGGATTAAATAAACAGGTAGCTTGTCTTCACATAGTTATGGGCTGTCAGAAATAGGTATAACTGGCAGTTTGACGTCAACTTTCCGACGTCTGGTGCCCGAAATGTCTTTGCTCCCTATGCCGCATTTTCCGTAAGCTACGCGACCGTAAACACCCACGTCATGACCATATTTGCTTTATACACGTCAACACGGACTGACAACTGTTTAGGCAATACCAGATGATTTCGAAGACTGCAGGCGTTTATATATGTGTATCGAACCAGGTGAGACGTCTTGCCGAGCTATCTCAACACGGAAATCCCCGTCACTCGGGCCGTCAGGCCATAGAATTCTTAAGACAGTATTACCTGTTTTTATGGGAAAATTACCCTAACAAGCCTATATTAAGATTCATCGTGGGATACTTTATACCAGGACAGAGATTATGCTTTATTCTGTTATTTTAAAGCTTCCGGATAGCTTTGGAATTGGTAGATTATTCATGAAAATACTTCCTAGTGGACACGAACGGTCCGCAGATCAATGAGGAAACGAGTTTTTCCACAGATCCAACCTTATTTACGCAGGTTTATCTACCGTGTCATCTTTTTACCTTAACGACAGTCGAACTTTTTGTCGTAGTGAATGTGCCTTCACGATCGCGAACCCGCGCGTGCATATCTCCTCTGTATTTCAAGATTCAACTAGCGTTATCCTCTTGGAGGAAAAAAGCTATCTGCCCTAGTTCAACGCACAAATGACCAGGTGTAGGTGCTATACATCAGACTGTATTCGAACGTCACCGGCATATTTTTCCAGGCCATTCTCATTTTAAGCTTATCGCACTACTTGAAAGCTCTCCTAAGAAGTGCACTTCTTCAGCAGCACAGTTTTCACAGTTTCTGTTTTAAAGGTATTCAGTTAAATGCCCGCTTTTATCTCCTGATTCCTAAAGCACTCTTTTATTGCACTTTCTGCCCTAGACCCGAATGTGGTTCAATAGTGTTAGCCGTCAGGTACGCTGCGTGTTCGCCACACAGGTCCTCTTCATTATTGATTTGGTGGCCACCGGCAGCCTGGTTATCGCCGCATCAGCCCTAGAACTGTATAACATTCTCTGGAGTTGTCCTGTCCTCAACATCTACTACGCCGTTTCTTGGCTCAGCCTCGTACTTGGAAGTCTTAAGTTATTGCTTGGACTAAGTGGAGCCCTGTTCCTCGCCATCCAGCCGAGCTGTGTGGATCCCAAGCTCTCCACCGTGGTCCTCGTTGGCCCCAAAGGTAATCTCGGCCAGATTGATGCGCCTCATTACCAACATCGCCTTCGGTCCACATCAACACCCGTCCACCCTTCAACCCAGCTCTGGACGTTGAGATTGAATCAGTCTCGTCATTCCTCCTCTGCAGCTACTGGTGACGGTTTATGTAGCGTTTGCAGACGGGGCTGCTGTTCCAGCTTAGGCTGGCTGAGACCCTGCGGTCTCCTTCTGGCCCTGATCATTGTTGGCGAACTAGTGGCTGTATTTCTCACGGCAGGTTTTGAAACTCGGGCACTCAATCCCATCTCAGGTATTCACAGCCAAATGCAAAGCATGTTTGTGGAGGCCAAGGCGGACTTACTAACATCACGTCGGACCCTTGAGCCTGCCACCGACTGTTGGGAGACGCTCGAAAGGGACTTTCAGTGTTGTGGGGCTACAGGGTATAAGGATTGGCTGGTTGAACCAAGTCCAACTCAACCCACCACCGATTCAATTGCCAATTTAACGGGTGAGTCACCGCGAGTGAATAACTCCGACGATGCGAGTTTTTTTTGCGAGAGGGAGAGGAATGCGCTTTATTTTGAAATCATATGTTCAAAATTTTCAGCAAACAGTTGGCTCCATTCACTATGGGCTGTAAATAAGTTAATAGATTATTCAAGAGTCAAAGTTTAACACAAAGAAACGATTATTATGGGGATAGTTCAAGTCTCATGCGAAAGTGTGCCCACTATCAAGAGTGTGCATGGCCATTTGAGACAAGTGGTCTCGCCTCTTAACTGCCAGTTGATGTTCGTGGATGCGTGTAGAGGCAAATTTTCCCGTTTGGCGAGACCACTTGTCTCAAATGGCCGTGCACACGGGGGAACGTCGGGGAATCGACGTCGAAAATTTGCTCAACAAAGTTTTCTCCTTTTCCCAAAGAACGTATTTGCTTTCAAATCATATTTCTTGGCATGCCTGCATTCCAATTCATATGTACATTTATGTATGGATATAGGCAAAAATTCTGACCCCAGGTGTTAAGCTGAAAGAGGAAGATAAGGCGATCTCTGGGGAAGGTTTATTCATCCGACGTTTCGTACTTGTGCTCCAGCACATCATCGGAGATAGACCAAGTGAGAAATGCACGGTTTAAATAGGCCATCCGCGCTCGCACCGGATAGGTTCGTCCTGCTCTCTTCCGGTTGGCCCTCCTCTCGCACGCAAATGGTGCCTGATGGCCTCGTATGGCGCTGGTAAATCAATACTACGGTTGATCGAGTTGGCGTCTGATTTCCAGGCCTCGACTACTTCCCTCGCCAGTTTGCTTTCGTCTCGGACGAGCACTTGGACGCCGTCAGAGTCGAACTTGTGATTATTTTCCAGACAGTGCATGACGACACACGATCGTACATCCTTTCGCCTTATGGCCAGAGTGCTCATGCATGCGCGTTCCTAGGCGTTTGTCGGTCATACCACAGTAGTTGGCTAGACAGTCTAGACATTTGCCGTGGTAAATGACGCCTGACGTGTCTGCGGGTGGTAGCTCGCCCTTGGGCTTCATGATTAAGCGGCGGATGGTGGCCTCCGGCCGGTGTCCAACGCCCACGCTTAGCGGTCCTAGCACGCGCTCAGTGGCTTCGGAGACGTTACTCACGTAGGGTAAAACATGGAAGATTTCTGGTCTTTGTTTCTTCTCCCCGTCGGTCTTCGTGTGCCTTCGGCACAAGCATTTGTTTACATAACTGCGTGGATATCCATTGGCAAGGAAGAGGCGCCATAGGGTTTTACGCTTCCGCAGCTTTTCGGCTTCTGTGCTGCAGTGTGTGTGGATGCGGCGAAGAAGTGTCCGGACACAACTGCGCTTATGCGACAGGGGATGGTTGCTGTTGTAATGAAGAATTTTCTCCGTGTCTGTCGCCTTTCGAAAGACACCAGTCTGGAGGGTTCCGTCTTCCTGCCTTGATACCTGGACGTCGAGAAAAGGGATCACTCCGTTATTTTCTTCCTTCATGGTAAATTGGACTTGTGGAGAAACCGGGTCCGATTCCCTTTTAAAGTTGTATTTCGCGTCTCGGTGTAGGATGTCAAAGGTGCCGTCTATGTAGCGCATCCAGAATTTCGGCTTGTATGTCTGGAAGACCCGAGTTTCCAGTTCCTGCAAGACCGCCTCGGCCAGGTACCGGGGGATTAAGGACCCCATTGGGTCTTCCTGGATTTGCTCGTAAATTTGACCATTAAATGTGAAGTGCGTGCGTAAACAGTAGTCCGGTAGTTTAATCGCGTGCCTCCGCTTAAAAGATTTTCCTTCTTCGTCGTACCTTCTCTTCAGCAGGTCATCGAGAACTCTCATGGCCAATTCTTTAGGGATGGAGGTGAATAGAGTGACGACGTCAAAAGATACCATTATTTCGTCGGGGGCTATTATGACGCCTTCGAGTCTTCCCAGGAAGTGTGTTGACGATACGGCTGTTTTCTGAGCGGTCCATCAGCTTCTTCAATGTTTGGCAAGCCATTTAGCCAGCCCATATGTGGGCGTGCCTTCCAGCGCCACAATGGGCTGTAGGGGAACAGTTGGCTTGTGGATTTTTGGCAAGCCATAAAAGCGCGCTAAGGGCGCATCTTGTAGTTTCATCTGTCTCTAATCCTTTTCGCATATTGCCTTTCGGCTCCTCATCTGGTTCTCATTTGGCCTGTCTCCGATGATGTGCTCGAGCACGAGTACGAAGCGTCGGATGAATAAACCTTCCCCAGGGATCGCCTTATCTTCCTCTTCCACATATATAAATACAAATATTCCGAATGACAGAGAACACGCGCGGCCCAGGTAATTGAATAGAAGAAGACGGGAAGGCGATCGCTAGGACTCACGCGAGCCCATCGTCAAGGAATGAAAAAACTGTACAACTCATCGTGTATTTAACTCAGCTCTGCCGGTGGTGACCTCTAGCTGCGCTGCTGATTTGTTCACGCAGTACTTGATAGGCGATTGGCAGATCGATATGTCGATTAATCGAGTCCTCAGTTGACTGCCACGCTTCCTGCAGTAGGCGAGCAACTCGGTCGTCCGACTGGCCAAATATTCTCTCACGCTCTGAAAGTCGAAGTCGTGTCCTGGCGAGGAGGCGGTGGCGGCTACCAAGGAGAGTTTATCCTTCCGTCTCACAGCCAACTCGTGTTCGTACAATCTCGTGCGTACCTGTTTGCCGGTTTCACCAACATAATTGGCTTGACCACAACTGCAGTCTGTCCGGTAAATGACCCCGATTTCTGATTGATGGGAATCGGGTCCTTAGAGTGCATGAGTTGCCGGCGTATTGTTGCCTCAGGTCTGTGAGCGACACCAATCCCAAATTCGCTCATCAGTCTAGCGAATTCTTCAGACACTCCGGCAGAGGTGAGCTAAGTACACGATGAGTTGTACAGTTTTTTCATTCTTTGACGATGGGCTCGCGTGAGAGTTCGAAACGTCGGATAAACAAACAATTGGTCCCAGCTATCGCCTTCCCGTCTTCTTCTAAATATATATTTCTTTCGAATTATGATTCTTGGGATGCCTGTTTTCAAAATATATATATATATATATATATATATATATATGAGAAGAAATGGCGATCTCAGGAACCCTAGTTTTACTGTCCTGACGTTTCAAAAGCAAACAAGCTTCCATCGTCGGAGGTGAGTGTGGTATCGCGCCTATGGTTCCCGAGATCGCCTTTTCTTCTCATTTATGTTCGGGGACGCGCATCTTCGCTTCTATTATATATATGTATACATTTGTTATTTATGATAGTTCCTAACTTTCCGTTTCTTTCCTTAAATCCGTCCTCAGCGTCGACACCATCGGCAGAGCACCATCCCGACGCCGTTATCAGTTTTTTGCTATCTCGCTGCAGCTGCTTCTCTAATCCATCAAGTTTTCGTGAAGGCAACTGTTTTAACGTGACTCTGATGATTGAACCGAACAATACGAAGTTTACTTTGCCCCTCTTCTCAAGGAGTTGTTCTCAGGTCATAACAGATATCGTCCTTCGCGGTCTTACCGGTAAGACCCCTCATTTGTATCACACGGTTGTTAAAGATTGCGTTTTCTCCGTAGACCCCTTTTTCTTCACCCGTTTTTGCGTTCTCTTTAGTCATATTTTCTTCCGTTATTTATTTTCCTCCCATGTTAACGTATTTCACAGTCGGTCTTCTCTTTCCACGATCCTTTTTTAGCTCTCTTGTATACTTTTGGTCTCTTTCTAACCTCTTCCACCACACGCATGTCGTCCACCGGCAGTTGGTTTTGCCTGTTTGACGTATGCAGAATAAGGCATTTATGGGCCACGCCTATATGTGCATACTCTGCTACATGCCTTCCGGTCAGGCTTACATTGTTTACAAATACTAGAGCCTTAGTGATGATGCTAGGTTGCCCGTCATAATCGACGATAAGCACGTTCACCAGACGAAGCTTGTTTTCCAAGGGGTGAGTAGAAAGCTTTGGTGGACCGTGCTAACCTGGGAACGGATGTGCCCAAATAAAATTTTATTAGCTCTGTTGAGTGAGAATAAATTGGGGTCTTTTACTATTGTTAGTTTTAAAGGACAGCAGGCAGTGATTGCAGGTGATTATCTGGCTGACTGTCAAGCAGGTGAGTTGGGTCTAACTGCGGAGCTACGGTAGACGGCAAGGCGAGATTGGTAGTCCATAGCAATGTGCGTAGACCCAGGGTTCGCAACTGCCACGTTGGACGGTCAATCCATTAGATCCAGAATTGCGACCACAGGTGCCAAGGGATAGGCGATCTGCTCGTTGTTGGGTTGTGTGAGCCCGGCGGATGGAGCGGTTCAATCGGCGACAGCGGTATGGGTGCGGAATATGCGTTCACAGCGTAGACAGGTGTGAAGGGGTTGGTCTGCTCTTATGTCTTTCTACCTTGTATCGTCATTGGTGGTACTGCAGCGGATGCGAAGGTGTCTCATAAGGCCATTGAGTGCCCTAAATGTGTTTCAGCAACGAGAACAGGTTGTAAGGAGTTGATCGCTGACAGTGTCCTTCCCCAGTTTTGCGTTTTTTTTCACTCCCCCTGGTCTCCTGTATTCGATTCGGTTCGAAGATGATTACGCTGTCCTTTATGAGAGTTTACCACTTTTGCCGATCCTGTACAGGGGTCTTTAGGTTAATTCCCAGACATCTGAGTAAGGCTTTGTGATGTTTCTTCCCTCCTCGGAATTGCTAACCCACCTGTATCGGAATCGCAATAGAAGAGTCATTTCGGCAGACGACAATCTGATATCTCTACGGTCTGGCCGCTACGCCGAAGCTGAATATACATCAGCATTGCAAACATATTTGGTATGTAATTTGATTCTAGGACCCAAGTACTCAAGGTCCGTTCGTACTCCGTCGCCTTTAAGATCTTCCGAAGGCTGTTGGCGTGTTAGTGGTTCAGCTTCCTCCTTTGGTTGTGATAGATTCTTCAGGTCTCCGCACCATAGAAGAGCGTTGTTGAGACGACTGCCGTGTACATTCTCAGCATGGTTTTGCGATGGATGCCACGACGATTCCCCACCGAGGGGTGAAACTTACTGAAGACTTTACTGGCTTTGGAGATCAGAGCTACAATTTCGTCATTTCTTATGCTTTCGCAGACTGTGCGTCACAACTAGGAGTATTGGCTAAAAGCAGCGGGGCGATTTTCGTTGGCAGTAATTGAGGCTTCCATGTATTCCGCGGTTGATGTTTGGCAAATGCTTTCTGCGTGTTAATGCTTAATCTGAGTTAGGCACACCCGGAGGAGAAGAGGCCCAGGCTCTACTACATGTCTGACCGGGTTCTGTTGTTGGGTATGGAATCGTCGATGAAGAAAAGGCCGTTCATTCTGTCTTTGAAGATTTCGGCAAAAGCGCGCACATGAAGGATGTTTAAGAGCCCCCCCCTCGTTTCAGTAGTTCATGTCGGTGCCTAGCCAGTCGTCGTGTTAGGCCTTTTTCATCCCTAAAAGCGGCGTGAGATTGAAACATGTTGGGGCGGGTATGCGACCCCGCTTTATTCCATTTGTCATCCTAAGTGCTTTTGAGACAGATCCACTGTCGCGCCCCGTTATGCAGATATCTGATGATCTGCGTGAATCATTTTGACCATCCGGACTCTTTTACTATCCCGGTTTACTGTGCCGAAGACCATTGTGATCTCAAAAAAAGTTGCGTAGAGGTTAGCCCTTGCCTCTTGAAATCTTTCTTACAGTTGGCAAGCTGCGAAGATCATGTCACCTTTCTCGCAATGTTTCCAGAATACACCGTAAGTTATCGGCGGAGGCCTTCCTTAGGTATACAGTTAGGTTAATGCGGAGATTGCAGTCAAAGGTTTTACCAGCAGTACTTGGAGAGGTGAACAAGCGGTGATGGTTGTAGACTCGTTAGTTGCCTTTTCGCTTGTGTACAGACAGACACTGATGATGTCATTACAATTGTGAGCTTTCGTGGTGTGCACGACCCTACACTATATCCATTGCTTTTATGACCGTTGTGGTCCCATGTGAACTGAGCAGCGACGCATTTGCGACTGCCGGGGGCCGTAGTCCGGTTTGATGGACGCGAATCGGTCTCTTATCTGAGTTCGGTCGGCGTATCCTTTGACCTCCTCAGTTTCGTGAGCCAGCCAGTTGCTTTACACCTTCCGCAATAGCCTACATCAGATAGTGGAGTCTTGTAGTCGACAGATCCATGTTGTACTTGTCCTTCATGCCGTCAGGAATTGGTATCGTCGACGCGTCACGACTGATGACGGCCATGAATCTCTTCCGTTAGTGTCCAAACCGCATTATGCTGGTGTGGTCATTGATTCCGGGCGGTCGGTAGGACGGCTTCAGTCTCCGTTGACTTGAGGGCCTTAGTCTGATTTGATGGCCGTAAAGAAATTCTTCATCCCACCGCACCAAGCTTATTCTTTGAAATTTCCTTACCTGGAATGCCAGTTCGCTGTTTTACATTTCCCGCAGTACATGTAGCAATTTTCCTCGGCATCTGAGGAATGCGGCTTTGTTTGCGGATGTCCTGTTATTCACTCAAGTCCTATAGAGAGTACTATCGAAGTGCAGTCTCTGTATTCCTCCGTTCTTATCATCAAATAAGTCTTCATATTGTCGGTGTGCGGATCCGTAATTCAGCAATTGTCAGACTTTGAGTCTCTGTGGAGGGAGTGCCGATTACTGATAGTTTCCATAGATGAGATGTTGCATTCAAAGCCAAGGCAGACCGGAATGGCCATCATCAGCCAGTCATACCCAACCCCAAGTGTGGATCACTTGGGATTCGAACCCAGGATTTTTGGTCATGGTGTTTGACGCTCTACCATGGAGCCACAGGACCGTTGTCCTGTCGGTTGTGATCGGGAATATCAGTTATGACAGTGGGCCCTCACCGATCAGGTTACGGAGCATGCTTGCTGTACGACTGCGTGCGAGGGTTCTAGTAGGAGTCCCAAGGCACAACGGAAAGAGCATGTTCCTTAACCTGATCAGTGAGCGCCCACTGTCATAATTGATAGTTTGGTTTTGGCAAGGGCGATGCCAGTGTCTCATTAGGAGTTTGTCCTACTGTTTTACCAACATTTCCTTATTTCGAGGACCGACTGTCACCTGTTCACGTTGTACTAAGCCGATTCGCTGGCGGCCGCAGCTGTCCTTCTAGGTTTGCTGGCTGTTGCGTTGTCATGGTGTAAACGTACATTTAGAGGTTTCAGAGTGGAGGGCGTCACTGTTGGAGATGGATGCTGACGGGGTGGGACTGCACGGGTTACAGCTTTGTAGATTCAAACATGAGAGCCTCGTGCTTGGGGGGACGGAAGGGTGGCGTGCAGAGCAACCATCTCGTGCACTCAGTACATCTTGTTTCGGCGATCGCATCTTGAATTCCATCTAGATACAATGCTAATCCAACAGAATGGACTCTCCGGCGTTTACAGTGAACACAGTGATACGGGCAAAGGTGTAATGAGGTGCATGGTTTTGGCGTTATCATCCCGGAAGTCGCTCACGTGCAGTAATCCCTACTAGAAGTTTGCCCTGCCACAAAATGATCGTCCCATTAACGAACAAAGGAACAGGAACACTTAATAGGAGACTTGCTGATTGAACTGCCTTCCGGTCAAGACGGGCATTATTAGAGGGTAGGCCACACGGAGGTGGCGCTGACCGGTGTATTCTGACTGAGGGGAAGTAATCGGGAATTCCATTCGGCCCTTAAGCCCCAGGCTAGGACCCTCGCAGGCTTTCTTGCCGTTATCGATCAGTTAGCCATAGCCCAATCCCAGGATGGAACACTCCAGTGCTGTGCAACAGGGTTCTGTACTACTAGAGCTCCAGGACGGAACAAGAGGCCTTAATTTTGTCTTGCGTCAGGACTAGACAGACGACGAATATTCTCAATCGTTGGGCATAGTTTTGGACCGTTGACACTGACGAAGGAGGCGTTTCCAATCAAAACGCAAGTTCAAAACCAAGTCTGTTGGTAATTCGTTGAGCCTCTTGGTCGCTTTCCGGCTCAATGCGGTTGGTCGCGAAAATTTTGTCGAAGTTTTGCTCAATGCAACCCAGTCTGCTTTAGACTGCTTTAGACATCACTATCATCGCTGAGAATCTCTGTCAGTTCTTTGGCGGCCCTAAGATGCAGCCAACTTCCCAATCGACCACCGGCGCATGTGGCGGCCATGTCCATGTACAACTGCAATGCTGTGCGCCCTTTAGCGGCACCACACTGACCGCCATCTGCTACCTTACAAAGTCCATCCTCTACGTACCTCGCCTCGACTTGATCGAACAACTTTATTTGACCGCTATTCATTTCCGCGTTGTTTGCAGTCAGGTGCAGTTTCCTGCTGTGTCTTCGGATCACATCAGGGACATTCTCCAACGGTTCGCTCCCGCGGTTAGAGCGTTAGCTTTGCTCAAGCCCTGCTCTTCTGTCGCGCGTATTAATCCCACCAAGGCAACAGAGTTTTTTTTATCAAATGGATCAGTTTAGAGGAAGGTGATACCACAGTAACAGCACAGGTACCAGCCAAAAGCCCATACACGCGTGCCTCGCCGATATTCTGCCGCTGCATGGCGCAGCTGCGAGGGGTTCGGCTCGTCAGTGGGTCCCCTAAAGTATACTACCAGCTGCCTGTCGGCAGTTAATGAATATTACGCGGTTACCCACTGTGGCTGATAGACCTTGGCCCAAATATTCATGTATAAAACTCTCGGTCTGAGCCATTAGAACTTGAATAAACTGATCAACTCCAACCTCGTAGATAATTTCTGAGGTTAAGCATATCTCACGTTAGCCGACAGGCAGGTAGTAGTATAGTTTGCGGTAAGGTGATAGCATACTAACAGCATGCATAAAATTCTCGGTCTGAGCCTATAGACCTCGAATAAACTGATTTTCCCCAACTTCGTAGAAAATTTCTGAGGAAATAAAAGTGCGACAAATGGGTCAGTTTAATTATGGTCATAACAACGCATAAGAGACAGCAGGAGCATGACGATAATGGTCATCTACTTTATTTCCAGTCGTCAGTATAATATGAATAAGGTGGATTTGTCCTACCTCTTTGCGGAGAAAGCTTAGCACTGTGGAGAAACACCCTACTTCATTTTATTCCTAAGAGGCACGTCATGCTCTTTGGTTGTCTCGCGATGCCATGCGCACCCTCGCGTAGACGAGTTGGGCCCTTTTACTTAAGCAGGCAGGGGAAGAAGCAGCTATTTCACGAGTATTTGCGACCGTCATCTATTTCCAGTTGAAATCGCTTCCATTTCCGATGCAACCTTTAGTCTCCTTGCCTTCAAACCCGAAATAGCTAAAGGGCAGAGGCCGCTCGAGCCAACCTCACTATTGCGCTTCCAAGTAGGGAGACGAAGATGAAATGAAAACTCTTCCGACGGCTTGCTGGCACAACTGTTGATCGAAAGTGCATTGGAGTGTTGCGTGACTTTGACGTGCGTCGTGCTCACGCAAATTAGTCACTCCGTGGGCGCCACACAAGAACACGTGATGAGGCGGCAAGCCAATGACAACCTTTGAGCACGTGAGGTGCACTGGTGCAAGTGCTAAGGGGCCTGTGTGTGTAGTGTCGGCTCTTTTGTTGCCGCGGTGTGGCGGCTGCAAGCAGTCGTGGGACGCGTTACTACGTCACCTCCTAGACCTCCTTACTCCGAAGACAGTCAGTTAATTAGATCTCTTCATAATTCTGGAATGGATATCACAGCCTCACGAAAGGCCAGTTTTCTCGAACTCCTTCGGGGGATTTCATAACTACCCTACTATCAGGGACTTCATTTGATGCATTACATGCACTGTTTTCGATGGCTGCCCGCGACCATTGCCTTGAGCCCTAGAAATTCCTTGTCGGTGAAGAGCGCACCCGATCGGAATGTCACTAGTTCTGCTTCGGACTGAGAGCGGAACATCCTCAATCCGTCGTATTCGTCTGTGAAAGTTCACACCTATCTCTGCATTACGCCACGTGTTTTAGCAAATAAACAGGATGGTCCCAAGACGCCCGAAGTACTTGATTAAGGAAAAGTCAAGTAACCAAACATAAATTTGTGTTGTTTGTCATGTGTTCAGGTGGAATACACATACGCAATAACGTAATCGGCTTCAGCATCCCAGATCGTCCAATTCCGAATCAGTAGATACGGCTTTGTTGAAAACTTGTCTGGCTACCCCCACCAAAATCCTAACCATCAACTTTGTTTACCTTGAACGCAGTGACGAAAGCAAAGGCCTAAAGAGGTGATTAGCTTCAGTGTTATTGGTTCGGGAGACATAATTATAGGGTAAGCCGTATGGAAGTGGCACTCACCGATGTATTCTGATTTCAGGGTAGTAGTCGGAAATTCTGTTAGAGCCTAAAGCACTAAGCCAAAGCCCTCGCAGACGGTCATAACGACGAGCAGTCAGTAAGCTAGATATATTAACTGACAGGACAAGGGAGGATGGGATGGCTACTTGTAGCCTAAATGACGTCGTCGGGCAGTCAGCCATACCCAGTCTCAGGATGGAACACTCCCTCGAGGGTTCTGTACCACCAGAGCTGCAGGACAGAACAAAATGTGTTAGTTTTGCCCTGTGTCTGGACCGGACCGGCGAGAGCCGCTGTGTTATGGCCCTTAGTATTCTGTCCTCGATAGGATTGGGTGTTTTGACAACGACAAAAAGGGCTCTGCTCAAACACGCAAGGTTTCATGGTTTGGGCCGCCAGACGCTGGCAAAAAAAATAAGAAACGGCTCCCACCAGTCCGCATTGCTTTTGCACGTTTGAATTTTTGAATGACTTTATTCACACAACACGGGCTTCTAGGCTATTTTAGTTATGCTTGTTCCCTTGCTGGCCGAGAAGCGAGTTTTCTATTTATCTTTTTTGAGTTGGATTGATAGGTGGTGCACAGACGCCTAGGTATTTTCAGAAATAATTAGTCAACGAACGCCTGCCTTCTGTTTGTGATTGAGGCCTATTCTTTAGACACACATCTCAAATGTCGTTTATCGCTGTGCGGGTATAGTATCCTATGTGTGCCATATACAACCGAAATGCCTGCAATCTGGAAAACAAACATGAACTTTACTTTCGCTTTGCGTTGGTTTAATCTTCACTACTTTGAACTTAGTGTCATCGTTTAAAGTCATGCATGGCAAGTCACATGCGAGATGTTAGAATATAGGCGTTTCTCCAAATAAATGAAGGAACAATCAAGGCTTCAAATTAAAGCCTGGGAAAGGAAAGAGATAAGTCCCCAACTTCAATTTCTCGATCCGAATATCTAGGAAGAACGGATATTTTCGGTTATGGAGAAATCAGTATGACCTCGTAGGTATTTTCACACTTCAGGTGGCGACCCACAAATGATCGACAACTTAACTGGACAATAAGCATGGAGCACTTACCAATTCACTGCTTAAACTTGAACAATGATGCAGTTACTTATAATTTGCTGATTTCCGCTGGCCCGTGGTAGCACTCCACCCTGTGAGCACTAGGCCGACCTTCCTGTTCACACAAGTCAACAGCCGCTTGCGTCTTCTTCCTGTTTTGTCGGTACTGCTGGGGTTTGTAGTTGAAAGTGAACCTCTTACTTTCATCTGAAACTTAGTAGACCTAGATTTGTATGAAAACAGATGAAGCCGCTCCTTTTAGTTTTACAGGAAGGCTGTCAGCCCAAGCCTCAAATAAGCAGCAGGGTTCACGATAGCAGCTCGATGCGCGGTGTCGCAGATTTTCGGCAACTCAGCACAGCCGAGGCTTTGAGCACAGAAATCCGGTCCTGTTTTACGACCCGCGCCGACGGAGAATACAGTAACGAGTGGTCATCACTAAAACAGCTGTCTATGGGATAGCTGAAAGGATTCTTGGACACACCCAGCAGCGCCGCAGTTGTTGAATCGGCGGAGGAACCTTGCAGCTGTCTGCCCAGACGTCTCGAACGAGGTCCCGCAACGATGCTTCCTTCCGCCAGCTCCGGAAATGACAGCAAAGTCGGCTAAGGATGACCGTCTGAAACAGCGGCCTCCGTAGATCATGTCTCAAACGTTGGTGGCACTCAAAAACTCAATTAACTTATACGCCAAGTTAGTGGTAAACCCTCTGCACTGAATGAGTGTGTTCGCGATGCGAACGGCGGCTTTATTTCTACCAAATCGGCCAAGGCCAATCGCTGACGTAAACACTTTCGCAACTTCGACGAGCAACCTATCACGCCCTCGCTCTCCTCTGCAGCAGAGTTTTGTCCCTCTTCAGCTTTGCAGTGTCGTGAAAACCCCTTCTGAGGGATAAGTTGCCAATGCAATACAGAGACTGTGCAACAACGAGGCACTCGAAGAGGCCGGTATTCCTGATGGACTTTACACGTCCTGTGTCGGCACACTGGCTCCCTACCTCCATGCGCTGACTGAGTAAGCGTGGAGAGGTAAGGTCGTTCCTAACGATTGCGGCTCAGACAGCCTTGTGTCTGTCTTCGAAAACGGACACAAGACAAAGTGCGAGAACTCCCGCGGCATAAGCCTCATCGACTTTGCTGGGAAGGCGTTTACTGTAGTCCTTGTCAGGCGATTCCAGCCTCTGCGTGCCTGGGACAAGGCCCAACCACGTTGGATTCTGTACTTGGCGTAGTTGCGGAGACCAGATATTCATACCAAAGCGCATTCTTGAATTTCGTCCTGGTTAACAATAACCGACGACCGTCTGCTCTTTGACTTTGCCGCTGCGTTCGACTCCGTCCATCGTGGGTGTCCGCAACTTAAGCCGATGATATCGCCTTGCTAGCCTCAATAAGTGGTGATCTGCAGTCTATGGTGTCACGGGTGAATGAAATCGTTAAATCCGTCGGTTTATCCACAAACTCTGGGGAGGCCAGATTGTTTTCGAGCTGCATTCCTGATCAGGAAAAGACACAACTCGGGATTAATAGGTGTTAGCTGGAAGTAGTAGACAGTTCCAAATACTTCGGGAGAAGGGTTCAGTTTCAGTTTATTTGAGGGAAATATGGGCGTTGAACCTTTGAACTCCCTATTTGTTACAAGGAAGCGAACTATATCAAAAATTTGAAAATGGAAACATCAAACGACTACAGAGTTTCTTTAGATTGGCAAAGTTTTCGAAACCAGACAGATGAACAAATTGTTCCAAGAGTTAAAAACATTAACGTTAGTAAATGTGCTGTACAGTAGTCTGTCTATGGATAATTGGTGTCATCTTAGTTTCTGAGGGAGACTAATTAAATGCCTACACACACATTCAACAGACATGGGACTGTAATAAAAAACAACCGTTACTGAAATACAGGTAGTAATGCAATAACGTTAATAAACTGTTCGAACGGAATGCTAACACGATGTTGGTCAGGTCACATTATGACGTTTAGTGGTACACTGGTCCAACTTGCGCTTAAAAGCCTCGACGGAGGTGGACATGACGACCACCCACCCAACGTTCTGCGTATTGCTGCCCTTAATCCAGCGTCGTTTCTTATCTAGAGGGGGTTATCTCAAGACCTGGTGTGACAGTTCACCAAGACGTGTAGGTGGTCCTTGGGGCTTCGGTTTTAGATCTCCGTCGCTGGGATAGGGAATGGGTTCATCTCCTTAGAACTGCTGCCACAGATTATCACGCGTGGAGAGGTACAGTCTGCAACATAATCAAGGCCGGCTGAATCAGGCGTTATCACAGCCGCATCAACTATGAGTAGGAAGGAACAGTAGTGCGTATAACGTGGGGGGATTTTTTCGTCACAACCTCAACCTCGGTAATAGCCATGGGGAAAAACACTGATCTTGCTGACTTCTTGCGACCGCATGACGTCACTGCATGCTTTATCCTATTTCGTCCCACAGCGACGTCTATAGTACGGATACCTTTCTATGGTTTTAACTAGTATCTGAACCCCTGCCATTCGGAGTTTACCCAGTCGATTATTATACTGACCACTTCGCCTGTCGTGAATTAGCTCAGAAGGACCGTGCTGGTGTTTCCTACCAGCTGATCGACCAAAAGTTTCTTGGGAATAAATGCGTTTAGTTAGACTTGTCTCTCTCGACGGTTCGTGCGCCCCGCCATTTAGGATCCGTCCAGCAGGCTTTCCACCAGATTTTTTGAGGGGTGCTGGGTGTCTTCGATCTTTTCTTTTGCAGCACTTTAAAATTTCACACCAACCACTTTGAAGTTCTACCACTAACCCACCCTTCCCGTCAGCTGCTTGTCTGCACCAAGTTCGCGCACCATATCGCCTTTTACCAACGACACGATTTGGTCTGAACTTTCGTCAGTGGCAGCAGCTTTTGTGAACTGGGGTCTCTCGGCTGGCAGATTTCGTCAACATCTCTGGGCGACGGACGTTTAGATGTAGAGGCAGGACTCGCAAAGCAAAAACTTCGTGCTAAATTTTGGCCATTACCAATACTTTACATGATCACTAATGCCTTCTCTTCCATTCTTCATCCAACCCACAGTGCTGAAAATAGCTCTGGTGGTCAGCCTCTGCCTGACCATCTGCTCGTTCATAATTTCGCTCTGCGTGACACTAAAAGTGGCGAGCCAAGGTTCCTCAGAGTCGGAGGTCGTTACAATGAGTAGGATTGGTCACAACCCGGCGAACCGTCCAACGGCAACCGAGGAGATCCCGCAGGCCACCACCTTGCCGCCCAAGTTCTCCTCCGTTGCAATGCCCGCAATTAGAGCCTTCAGTCTTCATCGAACCACCAAGCCCATTCATTGACGGGGAATATTGCATCTCCGCCCGCAGCATCCTTCGGTTCGAACTGTACATAAACTTGTACATGTATACTTTCAGATTGGTTGGGTCTGATAAGCTGTTCGCACTCCTGTACCACTGCGACCTTCTTGTGTTTCTTGACGTATATTTTTTTCCTGATGCGTGTTGATGCGTATGCTGTGATCTTTTTAATCTCCCTCTCTCCCTGTCACACACACACACACATCCACCTTGTCTATGTATGCTAACATACGGACAGACGCGCACTGAATTGGTTTTTCATCACTCTAGAATCGAAGCATCGTGCACCCGGATTTCAGATTATTTTAAATTATTATCTCATAAAACCTTTTTTAGTCCTTCCTCATTGCCTTATGGAGTGGAGTCATAGAAGAATGCGGGCGTGATTTACAGACACGTGTGTTCTAGGAAGCCAACGAGATCCGCATGCAATTTTTTATTGCAAAAACATCCTAAATCCATGACAGGTAGTAGCTGACGTTGAGGTGTCTGTCTGGTGACGCATCAGATAGACTGAGTCTGTGATCCATCGGCTAAGTTTGTAGGATTTTTAGACCGAGTTCTCTCTGGAGAGGGCGCCCGCCAGCCTTGTATTAAAGAAGTCGCAGCAAACTGAAGCTTTACCTGCTTTGGTATCGTCCGTTCGCAGAAGAATTCCCAAAACCTGGGAAAACTGCGTAAATTTGCAATATTGGTGGGCGTTAACGGGTGATTCCTGCATCTTCACAGCATCCAGGCCTGCGGTCTAGATTTCCAGTATCACAGTCACTGTCACCTTTAGCCAAGTCTCGTGCCATCGCCATTGCGACTGGAAATGGTTCTGGCACTTGTAGGAGCTACAAGTCTTTATGCTAGTTCGCCAGCGGGACAACACGGCATTAGGACTACGGTAGCTCGTGTTGGCAAGCCACGCGCGCGCGCACAGACGCGTCTAATAGTGCCTGCGTACATGACTTAAAGGTCTATGGAATGATTGTGCGGGACCTTGCAAGTTTGGCTGATACCCTAGCGTCCGCCGATATGAATGAGCATGTACGGTATGCGCAGGTAAGGAGTACGTGACGGGATTTGGTCGGGACACCGGGTATCAGTCCTCCGGACAGACTACGATGTACCCACAGATGACCGACTAGGCAAATGCCCAATTCGGACGTGCAGCTCCAATGAGGAGAATTCGGCACTGAGTCCAAGATGGTTGCGGTGGCTGTGAAGGCATCAGGCTGCAGTAGGTGGGCGGCGGGACGCGGTAACAGAGAGGGCAGGTGGACGGGTGGTGCCCTGAGGATGCTGGTAGTCGTGCTGTGTTCGGTTGTGGAGGGGGGGGGGTTGGTAGTAATGCCACTGGCTACTCAAAAGGTATCCAACGAGACCAACGCGGGTCCTCAACGCATGCTGACCGCGGGGGTATTTCGACGGAGATTGGGCGTTACTTCACGGCGTTTCAGTCTTACAGGCATGGCGTCCCGCCTTGGTCTATTCCTCAGTTGGCTATAGAGGTGTTCCACATTTCGGGGTTGACTATGACTGGCTAACGACGACTAATAAGACAGAAATAGCCATTACCGATCGAAACCGACAGGACAACGAGCCCGTGGCCCAGTGGTTAGAGGCGTAGACTTCTAATTCACAGGTCGCGAGTTCGAGCCCCAGGTGTTCCACACTGCGGGACTGGGTATGACTGGCTGACGACGGCCAATAAGCCAGAAATGGCCATTCCGGTCTCCCTTGTCTTTGTCGGCAATAACATATATCATTTTATTTTGGCGGCTATCCGCCACACTTGCCTGTCCCGTACAAGCGTTTCCCAATTCCCCTGTGCTCTGGGCATGTCCGTTTAGAAACGTTTTTCTTCGTCCTATCCATGAGTGCCCGTAGCAACGTTACCGTAGAAGAGTCTGCCATGATCTCGTCAGTCATTCTCACCAAGTGACCACACCATCGTTGTTGTATTTGCTTCAGTATAGTACACGCTCAGCATGCCAGTCCTTCCCATCATCCGGGATGCCCGGGATCCCTTCCTGTCACTTCGCCTTGGATGGCCGTCGAAAACTTAAGTGGGATTGGTTGAACTTCATCGTTTGGCTTTGGTAAATTGCCTGTCTGTCTGCACCGTAGAGTATTGTCAGAAGCATAGCTCTGCACATCCTGAGCTTCCCATTAAAATGAATGCTGCAGCAGTTCTGGACTGGTTGTGGCAGCCTGCCAAAGGCATGGTTGGGACCAGGGATCCGGGCTGCAGACTCTTCGACGACTTTGTCCGTGATGTGACGTTGACCAGCAAGAGAACTAATGTAAGTTTGCGAGACAACAACCTTTGGCAGCAGCCGTGCCTTCGGTGTATTCGACAGTTGGAGTCCTTAGCGCATGGTAACCGCATTTAGTAGGTCGATAGTTGATTCGACTATGCCGCGACCAGAGACGAATAGGTCCAGACTTCGTCGTATATCCGCCTCATCTCATTTGTCATCGAGAAATCTTCCGGTGTGAATTCGCTGCCCGTATTGTATCCCACCATGCCACGACGAGTCTGCCCGGCCTTCATTTTTAAGCGTTCTGGATATCTTTCAGCATGTCCTTCTAGGGTCCATCGCAATTCATGGGGTCCAAGACGTTTGTGATATTGACACCGGCATTGTCAAGACTGATCTCTTTTCGACTCTTGTACTGCTGTTACCGACCGCGAAGATCATATTCCCACTGACCATCCCTGGTAGAAGTCATTGATTCAGGTGGAGATTTTGCCAGCAATACTGAGAAAATAACATTGCCCGGTGATTGCCGCAGACTTGCTGGTTCTGGCTGCCTCTGTGGAAGAGAACGTCGGCCGAGTCTCTTCACTCTTTACCAAAACTGTTAGTTGAATTTCATTGCGCAGAGAGCCCACCTGCAGTTTATGCTTAACTGCAGCTTGCACTCCGGGCCTATAATTTGACGCCGTCTAATGCGGCTATGGCGAGTATGAGTGATATAAACGTAACCGATTCAACTATACAGGGGAAGGAGGGGCGCGTACTGACATTTGATTTGATTGCGAGACCCCAGGACATTAAAGTGAATCAGCCTGGCCACTGGATTGTGATCTGACCACCAACCAACTGTTTCATATTTTAAAGGATTTAACTCAGTAAAATCATGAAAGACTATCTCATTACTGTAATAAAGTTTTCCGGAAACTGTAATGGCCACTGTCACTAGGGTATGATACAACCCCCAGACTAATGACCATGAAGAAAGATTTACTCTTCCACCGCCTATTTTAAAATTGAAAACGAAACAATCGAAGGAGCTGGGGCAAGCACAACGTGATGTATAAGTTTACCTCCTCGTGTGGGTTACAAGGTTGGGTGTGGGCCTCGATCCTTCCACGGAAATAGTAGTAGTAATCATAAATTTCGACGAGACGAAACTCCCGATGATCGCAAAAGACGCCTAGACATGCTCGTTCACTCAGTAAGGGCACAACCAAGAGAGTGAAGACATAGTTGGTTTTAAAGTGTGAAAGTAGAAGAGACAGCGGCAAAATTGTTGAAGCAGGTTCTACCCTTGATGTTGCAGCAACGCCATGTGTCCCTTAACGCTGCGAAAACAAGTTCACCGAGGATGGCTGCCATATGGCTTGCAAAATTCCAGAAGAGGCCTTCAGCTGTACCCATGAAAGGATATCAGTACATCATGTGGGCGACAGCCAAATCAGACAGTTAAATTTGAGAATATTTATTGAAACGAACCCTGGCCCTAGGAGTGAGCAGCGGTACAGAATGAAAGTGATATCGGCGCAAAAAGATGAACATATCTTCGAGGGGTGCGGACACCGTGAGTCAAGTCGTCAGTTCGCCGAGAACTAAGTGAAGAGATCAAACTGGAAACTAAAATTGATAGCAGGAAAATGCGATGCGACCATAACAGGTGTTGAGTTCAGCAGCAAGCAAAATATTACACCCGTTTTCATTATGCTTTTCCAGTGTCCATCGCTGCTCACTATGTCGAGTACCATTGTGCTATTAGCATCAGCAGCGTGAAGGCTGATCCTTTTTTTCTTGAACTTCGTTCTGTATTCGCCACCCGCTATTATCATATCAGTGTTTCGGCGGTTTTATCGAACTCCGCATTGACAATCCCTGGGAGACGTCTTTGACTCACTCGCCTTAGTAGTACTCAGACGGTGCCTTTGCCAGCAAGTTTGAGGAAATGAAATTACCTGGTGACTGTCGGCCAAGGCCGAGTGCTAGCGTGAACACTTCAAACACCATCTCGACTTTGATAATCAACCCATGATGCCCTCACTTTCCTCTGCAGCGGAGTTTTATTCGTCTTTAACATATGCAATATCATGCGACTAGCCTTTTGAAGGAGATGTCGCCAGCGCCATACAAAAACTACGCGACAACAAGGTACCCGGAGGGGACGGTATGTCAACTGAAATCGCAAGTCTTGGGTCTGGCCCCCTGCCTCCACAAGGTAGTTGAACAAGCGTGGAGATCAGATTGCTCCAGGCGACTGGGGCTCGGACATCGTTGTGCTTGTCCTCAAGAAAGGATATAAGACGAAATGCGAGAGCTACCGCTGCATAAGCCTTATCGACGCTGCTGCGAAAGCGGCGAGGAAATCTGCACCGAGAACGGCATAGGAGATGGCAGCAACGATGAAGATTCAAGGGAAAAGACGTCGGAGACCGATGTCCAGAGAGAGGGAGCAGGTGCCACAGGTGACCATTGTCGAGGTGTTGACGGCCTGTAGGAAAAGACCGGGATTGGGGCACCGACGATCGGCTGGTGTGGGTAGAGTGACGCTAAGCTGGGCACCATTGTCAACGGAGAAACGCCTGCCACTCCGGGTGTCGCGGACGTAAAATATGCGACCAGGGTTAGAGCTGTCGGGAAGATTGGCTGCACTGACCTTCGGGCTGACCGGCTTTACCCGTTTGCTCTGCTTGGAGGTGAAGCAGCAGGGAGACATGCATCGACGGACTTTAACACCAAAGGTGGTGTGATACCAACAGATGACAGCGGGGTTTGAACGGGCTGAATGTGAAGACTGGACATGCGTTGTGGACAGCTTTGGTTGGCTCCGAAATGAGGGGGAAACTGTCCGCTTCTGGGGAGAAGCTATATCATCGGCCAGCTTGCCGAGCCCGATTTCGAACGTCGAAATGGGAGACGCAGGAGGATTTGAGGGAGTTGAGAGTGCTGAAAGTAACGGCATGGAAAAACCGTGCATCTCCATAAGCCGATCGGCCATCTGTGTAATATGTGTGGCCGAAAGAATGCCGAAGGCAGGTGCCAAAATATGCTGAACTTTCGGTGGAAAATTGTTCATGATTAACGCCCGACTTTGTCGTAGATTAGGAAGAAAGAAGATTGATGTTCGCAAGCGAGTCACCAGTTGTCGAAAGTGGTGTGGTCGACGAGACAAAGATTCCCAATCAAAAGTCAGGGAAGACAGTTTGAGTTGGACACCTTTTACTGCCTGAGGAAGTGAGTACACAAGGGCTTTGTAGGCAGTCGTCGCGAGCGCGCTCTCCAGGCAAGTTGTTGTCAGTGTCCGCCTTCGAGGTGCTGACATCCAGCGCGTGTGTGCGCCTTTCGTTGTCTCCGCGTCCGCCAGCCAATCAGAGGGGGGACAGCGCTGATTGGCCTGGAGCACTCGCGAGGCTAGTGACAAGCCTCGCACGTCCCAGCAGCGCATCGACAAGGAATGTGAGGCGGACGGGAAGGCAGCGTGGCAAAGGCGGAGGGCAAGGAGACGCGAACTCCCACACTGGCATAGGCAGTTGCTGGATTCAGCTCGGCAATCTCGGGCCACGTTGAGCAGTCGTCAATCAAGATTAGATGCGAAACTCCGTCAAGTGGGCCAATAAAGTGGACATGGCTACGTGGCCAAGGCTTCTGTTATAGTTGCCAGGGCCCTGGTAGCTAATGATGCTTGGTGACATTCGAAGCGCGTAAACCAGTTAACCAATGCCACCTTCAATACCCGGGCAGTTGTCAAAACTTCAAGCAATTGAGTTCATTTGACTGGTGCCAGGATGGACAGAATGAAAACGGCGGAGCACAGTAGGTTGAAGGAACAAGGAACCACCACACGGTCGGCAAACATGAAGCAGGCATCAACCACGGATAGCGATGCGCGGAGCAGGAAGGGTTGGCGAAGTTCGCCAACGAGAGTAGTCATTGGCCAACAGGTCGGCACGTAGGTGATAGCTTGGCTGTTGAATTTCGGCGGCAGTGACAGGTATACCTCGCATGGCGTCCGAAAGCTGGCGGCGCACATCACCCTCCATTGAAATGGTGGCAATCGCTATGTCTTCTTCAGGTTTCTGATGATTGTAGATGAGACGAGAAAGTGCGTTAGCCTGACCAAAGTCGGCAGTGCGATAGTAGCGAATGACGGAATCGTAATCAAGAAAAATGGTTGTTCATCGATGAAGTCGGCTGTCTAAATAGACTGGAATGTCCTTCTCCGAATGGGAGATTGATGGCAAGAACTTACGGTCAGTCAGCAACGTGAAGCAACGACCGTACAACAGTTTGCGGAACTTATTGACGGCAAAGACAGGAGCTAACGCCTCTTTCTCCAGTTGGGCATAGTTTTCCCCACAGAAGTTAACTCGCGAGACACATTTGACACCAACGCCGACACTGCACAAAAGCTCTGGCACTTGCACGAGCGCACCTCGCGTGCTCAACGGTTGTCATGGCTTGCCGCCTTATCGCGTGTTCTTATGGCGACCACGGGTTGATTGATTTGCGTGAGCACGACGGACGTAAAAGTCACGCACACTCCAATGAACTTTCGATCAGCAGTTGTCCCAGCGAACTGTCAGAAGAGTTTTAGGTAGGATTGCAGTTCGTAGCTATACCCATTAAAACCATAATTGTTCCTACTGGCCTGATTTCAGTAGGGGTGATTACGTTCTCGTTATGCCTTTGATGTGCAGTTTGGTGAGCGAGCTAGGGATTACGGTATACATTTAGGACTTTTGTTGCAGGTACTGCACTAGGTTGGGAGACTGGATGACATCTTGAATCCACGTGTAATCCGTCGGCCTATCCACTTGCGGAGTTGCTTTCCGTCGTCTTTTGAGAGACTAGGGCCTGCAAGCAGGACATAGTAAGAATCCATTTACAGAGTGCTGAATGCTCTGTAAATTGCATAGTCCCCCTTCGCGTTCAGCACACAAATACTACCTTGCTTTGATACACACATGTGACCCCAGTGGCAATCTACTGTTCCTTTCGGAATTTCCATTCCGAACTTCCCTACCTTTCGCCCTAAAGTCTTACCGTGACTGCATCGTACCGCTCTGCGTATCGCTCCCTGCGTGCTGTGCCCTCACATCCATTAAGTTGGTCGGAGTCTTTGCTCACACACCGCGGAATGACCTTCACTTAGACTGCCTTCCTCCCATTGGTTGGTCGCCTCCAATTACGATTCCTTTCAATCCGGAGCTAGTACGCGCTTATTCCGCAGGCCGTACTACATATGCCAGGTTTCTTATACATCTTCCTCACTTACTTAACCTTAAATAAACTAGCCTAAGACTTTACCATGAGCTTTAGTTCCGCGAATACCCTATTACAGCCACTGTCGCCCGCATGCAAGTGCCCCACCCGTATATCCCCTATTCCAACCGGTCCCTTAAGACAGGCAACTGGGGTTTTCCGTGCAGGGACGGCTACCAACTGCGATCTAACCCATTATTCGAAGTTCGTTATTTCTTGAAAATTACTTTTTGTTAATGTTTTAATTATCGCGTTCACCTTTGCCAAATGACAGCGTACGACATTATCGATAGAAATTTATTCATTTTCTGTCTTCCTGTGCTCCGTCCCGTGTGTTGCCCCACCCGCAAAACCCCCTCCATCACCATTTAGCGTATGAGGCGGTCCACAGGCTAGCTCAAGTTAGTTGGGGGTCCTACACCCTTTCGTTGTCCAGATACACCTTGAGAACTTCACCGAAGCTTCTGCAAATTAATCCAGAGACCTGAAATGACCTCGTTGAGGGTCAGCACGCCCAGAGACCCACCAGGAAGAATGAAGCAGCAATTTTCGAGTCTCGAGTGCGGGGGATTACCAACTCTAGTACCTACTTTCTTCCATCGCGTTCACGTCAACAGAAAATTCCGCACACAAACCAGCCTCGCCAGACATCTCCGGGTTCAAAGCACTAATAATGCGGCAAGTCCTCCTTTTTTCCCAGAAACCACCTCCACCATCACAATCCTCTCAAAGGTGGCAACGACCACAACTACCTCGAACATCACAAGCAACGTGGGCCCAACCTCAACCTGCCCTCTCATTGCGATCGGTCCCTTGCAGATCTATCGTACTGACGAGTGGCAGACAGTTACGGGGTGACCTGATACAAGCCTTCCGTATCATACGCGGTCAGGACTGCAGCCTCGTACCGGGGGAATACTTCTTGGAGTTAGCAACCACCAAAAACCTACGAGGACATCCATTTAAACTACGTGTGACAGGGGCCAGGCTGGACACACGAAAGTTCTGCTTCTCTAACAGAGTGCTAGAAGCCTGGAACGCCCTGCCTGTGGATGTCGTTATGTCGGCTTCCGTTGAGGTCTTTAATAGGAAGCTGGATTTGCATAGCAGTGTCCACTAAATTACCACCCGACCTCTGTAACCTTGACCAATCCCGTTATTATAATACTACTTGCAACATTTCAGTAACAGTTTAAATTGAATTTCTTATGGTCTCCAACCCAACGTCTACGCTCACTGACATGCACCCACGCAAATTTCGTCAAAGGGCATATTATTTATTTCCCTGCACTCGAAACGACCGCTATACAACTGCTCGTGCCACTAGCATTCGACACAGTTTGTTTGGCTGTACAGAGTTGACGCTTTTCCGATTATTTGTTACCATTATGATACCTTTTCCAGTTTCTGGGATTTCGCTGTTGCTTGTAAACAAATAGGGAGTTCAAAGGTGAAGACCTACATTTCCCTCAATAAAACTGAACTCAACAAGTGCCTGCACCCCCGACATACAACCCTCATCTGTGCCCTACTTGCTACAGCGCCCCAGGACATTCAGGCGCCATATGGGCCTCCTAGGCCACATATACATCCATCGAAAGCTGCCGTAAAACGCCACAGTTCAGACCCACCACTGTACTTGCTCCACACCACGCACCACTCCCCGTAACATCCTGACTCTGGCAGCAGACAGGTGACCAGCCTCACCATCGCCACGATACTACTTAGATGGAGAACATGTTCTTGGTGTATCCTGCTACATGAATGGGTACCTTGATCGGGCTCGCTAGCTCTGTCAGCTACTGCACCCAATCCCACCACCTGCTGACTGACAGGCTCGTACAGTCGACTAGTGCATGCGCAAACAGAGAGAACGAGGCCGACACTGAGGAATATCCAATCCGACGGCAAATCAGCGCATTCCCCACTGCAATGGAATTTGCATCTATCACGAAGAGCTGAGTAGTTGCCAAATGACAGGATAACTCCGCCCTCCAGGGATAGCGTCCCACTGCAACGGCCTTTTCTAATGTACTCTCTCTAGGGAATTCTCACGCATTTGGGATTCGGACCGTCCCCGTGAAAGCGTGGTACATCCCGTGGGGGCCTGGTCGGGCGTGGCACACGCAGACGTGCTGCGTAGCCTTGCCGGTCACTGCGCTCGGGTCGCCTCCGATCGCCCTGCTATCGGGTCAAAGTGGATGGAGGAGTGGGTGCGGTAGAGGCTGTGCAAGTGTACCTCACCACAACTAATTCACATGGGAGTCACCGCCCGTCGTACACTCCTTTTGGCACGCTGTGGACAGTGTCATCCGCGATGGTCGAACTTGCGTTTGTGTGTGTTAGAGAGTAGGGGCGAAAAAACTGAGTCTGAGGAGTAAGAAACATTGAAATTCAGTAAAAAAAGAGCAGTGTGAAAATTCGGAACCTGATTTCTAATTTACAAGCCGAAAAAGTAAAATGCAATTCCGGTTGATCAGGTCCCACATGAGGGCGCAAGGCGCAGGTAATTGTTTCATTCCCCAATGACGGTTTCCCGATCAGACTCATCAGCACTGAGTGTCTCCGCGTCGTCATCCGTGTCTAGGGCTGTCGTTTCCCTATATCTAGCAGGCACATGTGAAAAAAGACCAGTCGTAAAGAGAATGAAGTTGCAAAGCTGTACAAATTTATCTCCTACGTTTAAACCGAAGCATGCAGTTTAAAGGTGCTCCCAGATACATACTTGGCACTGGCAGTGGTTAATGTTTTGCTTAACTTACTTTTGGGATAAAACTGACTCTGGTGGCATCTGCGGAAGAGTTGGCAAGTTGAGTTTTCTCCACAACGCCTGTAAGTGGTCAAATAAAAACATGTACCTAAGACCAGCTACGTAAAGTGAACGAGCAAGCGCTTAAACGAAAAAATTAAATTACCAGGTAATCTTGGCGCACGCGGTCCATGAGATCAATCGATTCTTGAATCGAAAGAGTTTGAAGTTGCCGTGGAGCTAGGCCAGCCGGCGCACCTGTCCAACCAACAATTGAGGCAGCTGAACCAGGAGCCCACTTAAGATCTTCAGGTGCCTTGGAGTTGGCAGAGGACCAGGGTTTGACTCGATTTCCCGCTTCCTCATACTGACTGGCATTTAGGACGAGACCTCTAAAGACGGAATGTTGGAGACCCAGGTTAGCTCTCGCATAT